GGGAAGATGAATTTTTTTTAAAGTTGGGTGGGAGGGGTGTTAAACCCTGTCCTCTTTAGAGATCAAAGGGGAAGCCTGCTGTGTTCGCCAAACAGTGGAGAAAAGTCTGCTTCTCTTGACTTCAAAGACCAAGGTGCTTATCAGCTAGGTTCCCTTTTCTCAAGAGCATGAGAAGTCCTTGGGACCCTGTTGATGAAGGGGCGGGGCTTCCTGAACCTTAACAGGAAGTATTGGGGAGTCCAGGAGGAGCGGGAGGGGGTGGATGCGATTCATACAGATCGTGTACATGTGTGAAATTTTCAATGAATATTCTTAAAAAACAAAAGCAAAATAAAGCAGAACAAAATTCTGCCAGTCTGAATTCTCCAAGCTGGACTGCGCACCCGCCATCCAGCCCCACAGCCTGCAGCACTCCGTGGCCTCCCTGCGGGGCCCCAGCTGGAGGCTGACACACCCGTCCTTCATTTCCATTTGGTTTACTGTGGCTCACTCCCGGAGGCAAACAGTTGGCTTCCAACAGACTGTCTTCCAATAAGGAAAGGCAGGCTTCACTAGCCAAGAATCAGCCTACTTGTTTGGACTAAACACTAATTGCACTCCCGAAGTGCAGCTTGGTCCCCCCAGGTCATGTTTTCTTCCCTGGATCCACTTCTGAAACACCAGTAACTTTCTCAGCATCAGGAATACCAACCAATTTTTCAGTATTATTTTTCTAGAGCATATTTTTTTTCTCCTCTCTCCATTTCAGAAACGAGAAGGAATCCTCCAGTCTCGACAGATCCGAGAGGAAATAACCGGTAACACAGAGTATGTCAACACCATGGTTGCCAGCAAGTCTGTAATGGAACACAGATGTTTCTCTGAAATTCACCCATTTGCTGATATTTAGTTTTCATTTATTGGGATTGCAGGAAGGATTAGGCTGTGGCCGATGATTATAGTTTAGCCTTTTCCGTGCATTCAAAACATGCCTCTTGCTGCTTAAGGTACAGCCTTGGGAAGCCAGGAGAGAAGAATTAGCTGTGATTGAAAAATTCTCATTTTGTGGCACTCCAGGAAAAAAGTGCCCTCCTCCCCACAAAAAAAAAAGTCAACCAGCATGAAATCAACCCACGGTAAACATGGGGCCAAATCTGAATTGTTAATCCTCAGAGGGATGACGTTTTTTATCCTTTTCTAAATCTGATTTATTTGATCACATGCCATGACCCAGAAAGTCCTTCTACCTTAGAATTGTCTTTGGTTTTGGGTGGGGTTTTTTTTTTCTACCATTTATTTTTAGAAATTAGAAAGATCAAGAAGTATAAAAATTTTGCCATGAGGCTGGGGAGATGGCTCAGCAAGTAAAGTGCTTGCCGCACAAACAATATGACCTGAATTTAGATACCCAGGACCCATGTAAAAAGCCAGGCATGATGGCCTGTGCCTGTATTCCCAGCACTGGGGAGGCAGAGACAGGTGGATCCCTGACCAGCCAGCCTAGCTGATCAGCAAGCTCCAGGTTTCATGAGAGACCCTAAAAAATAAAGGAGAAAACACTCAAAATTGACTTCTGTCCTACATATACATACACACACACACACACACACACACACAGTTTGCCATGGAGAACTGAATTTTTGTTTGTTTTGTTGGTTTTTATTGTTGTTGTTGCTTTGGTGTTTGAAACAGGACCTTATGTAGCCCAGGCTGGCCTCAAACTCAAAATGTAGCCAAGGATAACTTTGAACACCTGATCCTCCTGCCTCCACCTCCCACGTACTGAGATTACAGCGGTGTACCACCATTCCAGACCTTGAATTTTTGTTCTTAAACAGGAAGAGCAGGCTGGTGTGTGGGATTTGGGGTCATCGAGTTGGGCCCCGAGCCCTACCCCATGCAAAGTGGGCAAGGTTAGTCTCCAGCCCTCCCACAGCCTCTCTCTGACCCTCTGGAATAAGAGTAGTCTGGTCAAAAGAGCACCATGCTCCTAACCAGCCTGCCTTGAGTCCTGAGCATCTCTGACCTCAGTCTCCCTGTCTCTGAAGTGGGGAGTCCTTTCCTGACCTAAAGATGAAATGAGGATTCAGCCCTAGCTCTGCCTTTCTACCCGTGCCCTTTAGAGCTGGCCTGCCTCCGACATCCCAGCCGACCCACTCTTTCCAGGCCTTGTTCCCTGTTTAGGAAACTCCTTTATACGCCCCAGCCATGGCTGACAGGAGTCAGGGCTGTGCCTTTGGTGACCATAATGCAAGTGACTTCAGAAAGACCTGAGAGAAGGCAGAGATGTAGGGTGGCCCTTCCCAGAATGCCTGGTAGATGGCCTGTGGAGACCCCCATCACACAGCCTCCTCATCCCTTCCAGCAGTCACCTGGCCTGCAGGGCACTCAGTGTCTTGACCATGGCTTTGACGTCCAAGAGGCAAAGCCATCCCAGGTCTAGCCTCACGTCCCTGCCTATACCTCCTGCCCCACGAGGGCTCTCTCTCTCTCTCTCTCTCTCTCTCTCTCTCTCTCTCTCTCTCTCCTCTGCCATGGAGATGTACCCACCCCTGCCGCCCTAATACCAACAGACTCATGATTTCTGCAACGCTTTTGTGACCACTGGTGCTCATGATAAGCACACATGGTAGGGATTGCCTTTAAGCCCTGTCCCCTGGTGATGAAGGAGAAGGCACCCTAGTCCATCCTGCAAGCATCTCTGATTTCATCATTTTGTATAGGAAAACCACATACAAATGTTCACTTGATGGGTGTCAGGTGTGCAGGCGAATGAACCATATACTAAAATTCATGAGAGCCAAAAGTGTGCTGAGCCAGACACCCTTAATCCCAGCATGCAAGAGGCAGAGGCAGGTGGATTTCTATGAGATCCAGGCCAGCCAGAGCTACATAGTGAGACCCTGTCTCAAAAAAAATAAAGAAAGAAAAAGAAAAATGTGCTAAGAAAAGAATGGGGCCTATGGGATGACTTGGCGGGTAAAAGCACTTGCCGCCAAACCTGACGACCTGAGTTCCAGCCCCCAGATCCACACAGTGAAAGGGGAGCACCGATTCCCACAGTTTATAATCTGACTGCCACACACATACATGCACACACAATAAATAAAAATGCAGTTTTAAAAAATGTTTAAAGATGTTCAGAACATTTACTGTTGGCTAGGAATTATGATTAAAAACTCCAAAACATTGACTGCTCAAAGTATCCCATTATTATCTTCAGTTTAGAGATTAAGAGACCCAGAGTTCACGCAGCATCTAAAAAGGGGGGAATTGGGGCTCAGTGGCGTTTAAGACCACGTGTGCTGTTGCCTATCTAGTGCTGAAGTCTTAGGACATTGCTGTTCCCTGTCTACATGTGACGTTCCAGTTCCCGTCCTCTCTGAGATTCTCTGTCCTGGGTCAGTGACAGGTGTCACTTGGGGGCTGGACAGGAGCAAGACAATGCTGACCTCTTGGGCAGTCACCCACAGCAACGTGGACGGTGAAATGGAATCGCAGATTGTTTGGGTCTGTGCCTTTGAATACTGATACCTTCTAGCTGGGTGTCTCCAGCCCCTGTTAGTATTCCTTCTAAACTACAAGATGCCATGTTGCTTTCATTTTGGGCAAAAAATGAGTCTTTTTAGCACCACTGCACCAGGTTTTGCTTTAACATCAGTAACCTGACTAAAAGAGGCAGTATTAGTCTCCATGATTGGAGGTGACAAAGGACCAAATGCCAATGAAGACACATATTTGAGCTCCTTGACCAGGCCCGCGGCAAGTAGGGAGAGATGCCTTCCCAAGAACAGTCCTGGGACGAGTTACCTGCTCTCTCTTTCATTTTCTTTGTTTTAATATTTATTTTTTAAATTATGTGTCTGTGTCTGTGTGGGGCTATGTGCATATGATGCAGGTGTTCGTGGCAGCCAGAGACATTGGATCCCCTGGAGCTAGAGTTACAGGTGGTTGTGAGCCCAGGGACGTGGGTGCTGGGAACTGAACGCAGGTCTTCTCCAAGAGCAGCAAGCACTCTTGACATCCAAGCCATCTCTCCAGCTCCTATTTGTTTTTTCAGACAGGGTTTCTTGTAGCCCAGGCTGACCCCAAACTCCATCTTGCCGTGTAACTGAAGATAACCCTGAAATCTTTCTCTTTTTTAATTCTAGGGCTCTCTCTGGAAGGCATGGTGAGTGTCCTGAGTTTGTCTGGCTCTGGTGGCTCTGGGGGTGCTTGTTGGTTCTTCTGTCGGTGGGAAAAGCAGGCCTTCAGCCTGTCACTTGATGGGTGTCTGCCCCAGCAGGGGACACAGTGGCCAGGTAGGGAGGAACAACTGAGTGGCCGGGACATAGGCACAGGCCTGTCCCCAGCAGGGGAGTCTTGCTCTGTGCCTGTAGTTGTAGGAGAGGAAGAGGTGTTTGAACAGATTTGGGGACTGTCCTCTGCCCCAGTTCTTCCCTGGTCCTGACTCACCTCTCAGAGCTTCAGGCTCTGTGAAAGTCAGAGGTCTCCTTCCCAGAAATCCCAGCTATGCCCATCAGTGCCCAAGGGGAAAGGGGAGGCCTCAGGTCACAGACCCTCCTCACGCGCTTGGTCCTGGAAACCTCCCTAGCCCCTCCCTCTGTCCCTTTATGGGCATGTGTGACCTCCTACTTATGAGAACCTGGCACCAGAGCAAAAATCATCCTTGCTGGGAGTGTGACTTGGCTGTATTTTGTCAGCCTGATACCTGGTTATCCCATGAAGTATTTTAATCATACTAAAACCTTCATTGGGAAAGCATGTCAAAGTCAATAGAACACACACCTTTCACACCTATGGCAGACCTGGGGAGGCTCATCTTTCAGATGATGTTTCAAGGAAGGGGAAACTGAGGCATTGGGCAGCGGGGGTGATAGACTTGACACCCGTGGGAGGAGGTTCTTGTTCTGTCCTAGAATGCGCTGAGTCCTCCTGCCCTCGCCTCTGCCCCTGCCAGAATGATTACCTCAACTGCTTTTGGAAATCAGGGACTGAAATAGTTTGATATTTGGGTGACTTGTGACCTCTAGAGAGTGGTAAAAGCACTTTAGAACTGGAACCGCATCTCCACGTGGTGGAACAGATGCAGTGAGAAAGGACCAAGCTCAGGTGAGGCTGCCTGGTAGATGTGTCATAGAGACAAGGATCCCAGGGTATGAATCAGCCCCAGCATGGCCCGTACCCTGGACACCCCCTACGGTAGCCAACCATGGCTCCAGAGGCTCATGGACTGTAGCCCAGATGGGCCTCCTGACAGGAAGCTGCTCTTTGATGTGAGGTACGTTTCCTTCTTTCAGAACGGGATGCCTTTGACACGCTGTTCGACCACGCACCGGATAAGCTCAATGTGGTGAAGAAGGTGGGCATGTGGTGCCTGGGGGGAGCAAGGGGCAGGACCCAGCAGGTCATTAGAAAATGCCAACCTGCAACCAGGGTACCCCCATTCATCCCTGCAAACACAGGGCTGTCCCACATGTCTCTGCCTCTCTGGTCATTGATATGTCATCCAGGTCTCTTCTGCTCCCATCAGGCCACCCACCCTTCTTCCCACCCACACTGAGTGAAGCTTTTGTACCACCTGTCATCCTGTCTCTCAGACAGCTCTGTCCCTCTCAGCCCTATATCATGTGGCCAATCCAACCAAGGGCCTCTCCCTGTGGCCCCAGGACCTTTGCACAGGTGGAGGTCTCTATCTTGGTTCTTGTTTCTCTTTTAGACCCTCATCACATTCGTGAACAAGCACCTAAACAAGCTGAACCTGGAGGTCACAGAACTGGAGACACAGGTGGGTGGCAGCTCACTGATGGCCAGGAGGGCTTTCTCAGGGACCCACAGCTTCCCAAGTTAGAGGGGTGAGGCATGGGATGTGTTCCACTCAGAGAGATGAACTAGATGGGCTTCTCTGGACTTTTTTCCAGCTGTTTTTGGAAATGTTGCAAGTATGAATTCTGTTTCTTCCACACCTGACACACACAAGTTAACACTTAGCCACAGCTGGCTCACTTGTTCTCTCTCTGTCTCTCTCTCTCTGTCTCTCTCTCTCTCTCTCTCTCTCTCTCTCTCTCTCTCTCTCTCTCCCTCCCACCCCCCAAATAGTTCCCTTATGCCTTTTCAAAACAAATACACAATCTTGATCAAATGGGAACAAGTTTAGCATCGATACCCTATGCTCATCTGTTTAGGGAGACCATGAAGTGATATTGGCTGATATTGACTAATTGAAATGGGGCTGTCACATGGTTAGAGAACATCTGTCCTGCTCTCCCCACCCTGTGTTCAGCTGTCTGTCCCTTTAGCCCCCTCTTTAATGCAGAGCAACAGCTCAGTCTTCTTGACAGAACATCAGTGTTTTGTTGATGATGCTTTTACTCTTTGGTAATTTAATATATGTACACAGTATATTTAGATCATATCCACCCCCACCCTCTCCCCAACTTCTCCCAACCCCCCCATATCCCACATCTCCTTCCCAACTTCAGCTCTTCCTCCTTCCCCTCTCCCCCTCCTTCAGATGTGCGTGGATGTAGGATCATCCACTGGAGCATGGCCAACCCACCATGGTCCACACTCCAGAAGAAAAGTGACTCTCCCTCCCCCCAGCAGCACCAACAACTCCTCAGCTGGGGGTGGGGCCCTCGATGCTGGAATGGGTGGCTTTGAAGAAATCCAGCCTCACTGTGGTGGTGTCTCAGGGATCGGTGTCTGCTGGACTCCACCTAGAGCCAGCCGCAGCTATTTCGTACCTTAATTCTTATTAACTAAGCTGTAATTTTCACACCCAACTGCCCCAGCCCTTCATTCTGGGTTGATTTCAGCTGCCTGGCTCTCATCTATCTGACTGTGCAGGCACCTCCTGTCATCTATGAAAACCCACCTTGTTCTTCACTGAGCTCTCTTCTTGTGTCTCTGAACTCTGCATTGAGCTTTATATATGCTGAGGAAATCTAGAACATTCTAGAAAGGCAGCCATTGTGGTCTCTGGACCATCTCCTTGACTTCAAGGGCAATGCTGTTATACCATCTGTCCACAGGTTTCAGCTGGTTCCCACCCAGTCAGAAGAACCAGCCTCACAGGTGGTGAGCCACCATCTGTCTTTCCCTCTGAGCTGTGTTGTCCTAATCCAGGGTCTCCTCCTGGCTCACAGAGCCAATGTTCTCCACCTCAGCCTGTCCCAGCCACAGCCAGACTGAGGCTCCATCACCTGTCTGGCAGCCAAGAGCTCTGGTTTCCATGCAGTTTCTGAGCCCTGCTCTCCAGGGCCTATGTGGTAGCATGGGATGTCCTACACAGGCCTTACCTGCCTAAGGTGACCCACCAGAGTGGGGAGGAGCTGTTCCAGTTCAGGCTGGTCTCAGGGCCTCCAGCCTTCTCTTAGTCATCCTGGGAGACTCAGCAAACACACACTCCAGACCTCGGCCACACTCCAGCACTTGAGTCTGGTTGTTTTAATTCTCCTAATAGGCTGACTACAAGCGTAGCTTCTCGCACACTCCAACATCTGCTGTCTACACCTCATCACGTGGTGATTTGGTCTGAGGGATGTGAGAATATCAGATGACTGCTATGTCTCAGCTCAGGCCACCCCCACACCTGAACACTGACTCCTCCCAAAGTGCCCTCACCCCTGGCCACCACTACCATCATCACCCAGGATGCACAGCCATCTCTAAAGTAGAACCTACACTCTCTGCACTTAGTACAAGAGTCTTGTCCCTTGGCCCAGGTTCCCCAGCCCCAGTGTTTCTACTGCCCTGGATGGGACCGGACCCCAAGCTATTTTCTGGAGCCAGATGGGAAAAGTGATAGTGCTTTAAGTGCCACCTACATGCCACATAGGTCCCTGGCACTTTTTGCGTGTTACTGGGCTTGGTCCTCATGCTAACCCCATGGAGTACAACCCACACTGCTGCACCCCCAATTTGCCATGAGAAAATGAGGTAGAGAGTTGATGCCAAGTCTCACAGCTAGCAAGAAGGACTGGGATCAGAACCTGTGTTCCTAACATCTGCACTGGCTGCCTTGGAGCACCGAGGGAAGGACATGTGAGCAAGGAGATGCCACTGCGTTGTCTCTGTTCCAAAAGTAAAGGTCACTGAGGACCATTATGCCACTCCCCTTGACCATCACCTGTCACTCCTCCTGAGCCTCACCCTAGCTACCTCTGCACCCCCAACACCTCCAGTAGGTGCCTGCAGTGGTGTCCCCTCCAGTAGGCGGGTGGCCTTCCTCAGTCACACAAGTCAGCTAGCTGCCACAGTGCCTCCACAGCAGTCTCTCCCCAGGACCCTGAGCACCTTGAATGAGGAGCCATACTTGATCTGATGGTGCAAGTCTTCATGTGTGCTTTGAGTGGTGGTTCACCTGATGTCAGGCCTGTGTTGACTAGACCATAACCAGGCAGGCATCTCCCTGCCACCAGCCACCAGCCCTTGCCAGCAGTCTACCTACTGAAACTGCTTTGGGGGTGATTTTGAGGCTGATGAATGAGGCTCACATTGACACCTGGCTCTCCTTGCAGTTTGCAGATGGGGTCTACCTGGTGCTGCTCATGGGGCTCCTCGAGGGCTACTTTGTACCCCTGCACAGCTTCTTCCTGACCCCAGATAGCTTTGAACAGAAGGTAAGGGGAAGGGGCCTTGAGGAAACCCCCCACATCCAGCTCATCTATACTGGGCCTGTCCAAGAAGACACAGAGGCTGCCTCCTGGCCAGACCTTTACCAATTGAAGACAGGACCTCTCAGATAATAGCCAGGGTTAGAATGAGCTACCCACAGATCCTAGGCATCCTGAGCACAGTCCTTTGCACCTGCCCCTGCTCCCCTAGCCATGAGCTCCTGCAGTCGCCCAGCCTCATCTTTGCCAGAGGTGACAGGAGGTAGCTTCAAGGCCAGTCAGCCCTGAGGCCTGTGACCAGCCTGGTTCTTTTTTATTTTGGTGGAAGAGATGGGAGGCATTTGAGACAGAGTTCAAATTGTAGCCCAGGCTACATGTACCCCAAACTTAGCATGTACCCCAGGAACCTTGTAGCAATACTCCTGCCTCAGCCTCCCCAGTGCTAGGATTACAGGCAGGCACTACCATGCCTGGTTACTTTTTTAAGTGATTTTTTTTTCTTTTTGTAAACGTGATGCTGGAGATTGAGCTACATTCCTACGCTTTTTAAAAAGAGTTGGTTGTTTTAATATTTTTTTAAAAATTTTATGTGTATGAGTGTATTACCTGCATGCATGTAAGTGCACCCATGTTGTATAGTACCCAAAGAGGTCAGAAGATGGCGTCAGATCCCCTGGAACTGGAGTTACGGGCGGTTGTTAGCTGCCATGTGGGTGCTGGGAACCAAACCTGGGTCCTCTGCATAGCAGCCAGTGCTCTTAACTACTGAACCAACTCTCTAGCCCCTGTTTTGTTTTGATTTGTCTGGGGCTAACCTCTCAGAGATAGCCACATCCTACTTGGCTACAAGAGGCATTAGGTCCAAAGCAGAGGCCCTCCTGACATGAGTTGCCATCTGACTGAGTTTGAAGAACTGGCAGTTAACAGAGGAACTTGGGTAGGACAGAAAGAGCCCTTCCGATGGGGCTGGGATGGGCAAGGACACCCTCAATATGGCTAGCCCAGTTCCCTAGCCACAGACAAGTTCAACCTTGGCTCCATGACTACAGTGCTTGGCTCCTGGGCTTCCCAGCAGACCTGGGGTCCTGGAATCTAGGCGTGTAATTCACATCCACTGTGTCTCTTTCCAGGTCCTGAATGTCTCCTTTGCCTTTGAGCTCATGCAAGACGGAGGGCTGGAAAAACCCAAACCACGGCCAGAAGGTACTTTGCCCTTCTCTGGGACTGTGACAGTGGGGGACTCTAATTTGTGGGGTCTGGGTGACAAATACCTTAGTCCCTTAGTGTGCAAAAGCAGTTGGTTCTAAGACCTTACAAGGATACTAGCATCCAAGAATGCTCAGTCCCTTAAGTAGATGACCTGGTATATTCAATCACCTCTCCACTGCTAAGAACACCTACTACAGTGTAAGCACTGTATGTGGAAATAGTTGTTTCAGGCTTTTGTTGGGAGAATAGTAACAAGGGGCTTGGTACAGATGCACTGTGTGTGTGTGTGTGTGTGTGTGTGTGTGTGTGTGTGTGTGTGCCTGCATACACACAGAGAGGCCAGAGGAGTATGTAGAGTGTCTTCTAGTCCTTTGAGGAAGAGTCTCTCTCTGAACCTGGAGTTTGTGGTTTTTCCCAGCTAGACTGGCAGCCAGCAAGCTCCAGCGGTCCTGAGACTCCTGTCCTGAGTCCTGAGTCCCAGAGACTCCTGTCTCTGCCCCTCACGGCACTGGGGTTACAGGTGTGTGCAAGACCACACCCAACTTTTTATATGGGTATCGGGGACTTGAACGCAGGCCCTCATGGTTGCACAGCAAACACTCTTAACCACCGATCTTTTTCTCCAGCCCTGCAAGATTTGCTTTTGAATATCTTCAAGCTACTGTTGGCTGAATCTACACTGTGTAGCCCACAGATCCAGGGGGCTGACAATGTAAGACTAGGGAAAACAAAAGGGAGAAGACACTCCAGCAGGCCTTGAGTGCTCACACATGGCCACACATGTGCATGTGAGAGCAGGAGGCACATCACTCTCGGTATCATCGTGGCACGCACACTTATTTTCTGCCACTTGCTGCAGTGTTCCATTTCACCAGCACTGAGAAGCCGACACTAGTCTCCACAAAATGCCTGTTTATATCAAATTGAAACTCCAAGAAGGCCGGCTGCAGGGCCTTGTGCTTGCATGTTCCTGCTTGTTTAAAAGCACAGGACAAGCAGAAGCCATGTATGGGGCCTCTTACACATATTGCTAGCTCTAATCCAAGATCTGCCTCTCAGACCTGCACCCACAGAGCCAGGCCCTTGTCTAACCATCCTGAGACACTGCGCATCATGGCACACCTAGAAGGCCAGACTATCGCTGCCCTCGAGGCTCCTGTCGGCAGCCAAGGGGAGGAAAGAGGCACTGGCCACCCAAATAGAGTGACAGTTAAGAGAGTGGCCATGGCAGGGATATAACAGGAGGCCATGAGTATGCAGGAGGGGTGCCTGTCTATCTGGGTACACTGAGGAGCTGTGTGCTGGAGCTGGTGACAGGTGGGACACACCAGAAGGACTGGCACAAGCTTTGGTGGATGCAGGATGAAGGAGTGAGCCACAGGCCTGGCTAGGGCACAGAGAGCCTAGCTGCTGCTAACAACCTGCAGACCTGGGTACTGTCAGCTCCAACTAACTTACTCCCTTTCACTCCCATCTTGTCCTACGCCACTGGTTGCCTCTAGGAGAGGACCTCTAGTGTGGCAGCACCCCACAAGGCCAGACTCACCATCCTAAGACCCTAAGGTCAGACTCTAGCACTCCACAGCAGCCCCACCTGGCTTAGAGAGCTCTGACTACACGGAGGTCTTGAGCCGCTTTGTGGAAACTTCCAGCCTGCATATTGGAAAGACTTGTCCTGATACGTTGGTGTTCAGACCTTTGTTTCCCTCAGGACAGGGATAATTTTTCCCAACATCGATCTATAAGACTATTTCAGAATATAGATGAGGTTTCTTATGCAATTATTGAACTGCTTAATATGAAACTTCCCAAGCAATAGCAATGGAAAAACACATGCGGTTTATTTGTTGTTGCACTGGGCATCGTGCCCAGGCAAGAAATTTCCAGTGTGTAAAGGAGCACTGAAGTGGTGTTCTGTGAAGCTGGACTTTGTGAGCAGCTGATCCCAGTGTTCCATCTGTCTTCCCTGCTTTCTGCCTGAGTAGTGATTTCCTAGTCTACACTGTGGACATTATGCAGGCATCTCCAGATCATACAGGCTATAATGGAGGTGTTTCATATGGCAAGATGCTTTGGGTCTAGTGGCACAGAGCTGAATCCCAGCTACATGGAGGCTGAGGCAGGAAGATTACAGGCTAAAGACCTACGTGGGCTTTAGAGTCTGTTCAAGGCTTCTAACCTGGGCAATTTAGTGAAACCTTTTCTCAAACAAAAATGTGAAAAGAAAACTAGGCATATAGTTCGTGGCGTACATTAAGGACCTGGGTTTAATACCCAATACAGAAAAGAGAGGGCAGGGGAGGAGGAGAGGGGAGGTCAGCTGGGGGAGAGAAAAGAGGTGGTAGTTGGTGGCTTGTTAATTTAGGGGTGCATGTCTTCAAACACACATACCTCTCCATGTCCACTATTCAAGTGTACTCACCATCAAATATGGTCAAGACCCTACTGTGCCAGGCAGGTGGGGGTTCTGAGAAGCCTAGCACAGGTGGGATCAAAGTGTGGATAGCCAACAGGTGGATGTATGTAAACAGCAGGGGTCTGCTACTGTGAGCAACGGCAGCTGATGGCAGCTCAGCCATGGCAGACTTGGTCTGAGGCTAGACATGAAACTACCCAAGCCCTGTCCCCATTGCTCTGGGTAACAGTGCACAGAGCTGACAGTGGCAGATGCCTGGAACACTGATTCATCACGTGTTAGCAAAGGCATGGAGCCACAGAAACTGCAAGACAAGGGTGACAGCCACGGCCATATTAGAAAACTGTCCTCCTACTCCAATGCTGTTGAGGATCTGCAACACCCTAAATTAACACACACCCAACATACCTGTCCTGATCCTTGGAATCTGTTCACATGCTACATGGAAAAAGCTTTGCAGGCATTGAACTGATGAGCTTGAGATGAGAAGATCCTTCCAGACTATCCCAGAAGCCCCCACATCATTGCAGCAGTCCTGACAAGGGGCAGAGAGAGGCAAGAGGGTCAGGGTGGATGGAACGTGAGAAAGGCTCACCCAGCTGTCCCTGCTTGAAAGATGGAAGAGAGCTATAAGCCAAGGCATGTAGGAAGCCCAGCCAGAGACAAGCCTGGGGGAAGAGCTCTGCACAGAGCCACAGAGGGAGTACAGCGATAATTCATTACAGCAGGAATAGGAGGTCAGCACACTCCATGATCCACAGACCCACTTGTAGGTCTACACGGTCCCAGGCCAGCAAAAAATCCCAGGGGCCATGGCAGAACCCTTACACGCTGTTGGTGGCGTTGCACACTGGTACCAACACTAAGAAAAATAGTAGGAGAGATGGTCCTCAAAAAATTATAAATGGGGACTAGAAAGATGGCTCAGTGGTTAAGGAGCACTGGCTGCTCTTGCAGAGGACCCAGGTTTGATTCCCAGCACCCACCTGGCAGCTAACAACCATCCATAACTACAGTTCCAAGGGATCTGACACCCTTTTCTGGCCTCTACGGGCATTGCAAATACATGCTGGTAAAACACATATAAAATAAAAATAAACCAATCAAAAAAATTGTAAATGGAGCTACTCATCAATGTAGCAATCCTACTACTGGGTTTCTATCCAAAGGAAATTAAATTAATACATCAGAGAAACACACAATCATAGCACGACTCACAGCAGCTAGGAGATGAAACCAACCTAAGTGTCTGTCAGTGGATGAACAGAAAAGCAATGTGGTATATGTACACTATGGAGTACTATTCAGCCATAAAAAAGTTGAACCCTTGTTATTTGTGACAACATGCATAGGCCTGGAGGACATGATCTTAAGTCACTTAAGCCAGACATAGAAAAATAGCACACCATCTCACTCATGGGGAATCCAGAGGAGTTGATCTCATGGAATCAAGTGGAGTGCTGCCTACTGGAAGCTCGGGAGGAGGTGCGTGTCTTGAAATGCACATGCCTCTCCCTAATTACCATTCTAGTGGATTCACCCTCGAATACAGTCAAGACCCCACTGTACCCAGACAGGTGAAGACTCGGGAGAAGCCTAGCACAGGCAGGATCGAAGTGTGGACAACCAGTGATTGGGTGGGTAAGGATTAGGGTATGAGGCTACTCATGGTTACAAAGCTACATTCAGGCAGGAGGATTAAGTCCTGCTGTTCTGCTCTGGGAGAGGAATCTAATAAGCAAACATTGTGCACTAGTTAGGGAAAGATTTTGAATGTTCACACTGCAAAGAAATGATAGGTGAAGGCTTCTGGTGGTGGCTCTGCTAATCACCCTAATTTGCTCAGTATGTAAAATATATAAGGATGGAGGTACCACGTGGTAGCCCATAAATACCCACATCTGTTGGGTCAATTCTTTTATTAAAACCTCAACATGGATGGTTCTCGAATATCTGGAGTCCCTGGTGCCAGTGGGGAAGAGAGGCACCCGCGAGTCCTTCCCCTTGGCTCAAGGCTGCTCTCTCCTCCAGTCACCTTGGCTCTGACCTGGTTCCCCTGGCCCCAGCCATTAGACAACCACTGCTGGTGGGCTCTGACTCACAGTCCCACAGTCCTGTCTGCTTCCAGAGAGGGGTCCATCCTGGGCCAGCATGGACAGGCACACAGGAGTGTGAGCCACTAATCACACCATTCATTCAGCCAGACTCTGTTTACACAGCGTGGAGTCTCCAGGCATTCCTAGGCACCCTCAGTTCTCTCCACATTGAGATAGCTCAGTCTCTCGGTGCTCTTCTAGTCTGCCTGGGCCAACCAGGGTGGCCGGCAGTTGGCTTTCTAGGTGAGAACAAATGATAAGCAGTCACCCTGTTGCCCCAATGTATACCTGGTGATGATGGTGAAGATTACTCAGACCTTCTGAAGAAGCAGGGCTTCATTTATGTGGATAGTGACTCTTGCCAACGCAGCCATACCTAACAGCTCTGTTAATGAGCCAAGGTGGGAAGACGGGAAGGAAACTACTGTTGGGGGGAGGAGAGAATCCTTAATGTATTTCAGGTGTTCTTCATAAAGGTATTACCCACTTTTACCATTGAGAAAACTTATTCAAAGAAGCCAACCCCTGGGGTCCCACACGGCAGTGATGATGGACTTCAAACTTTAGTGGATGTTACGTTGACATAAAAGGGCCAGTGGGAATGTTCTCCCATATGGGACAGTGATTTCCTCTGTCATCTTTGGAACTCACCTGTCTTTCAAAAGCAAATCCCCAGCCTCCACCCATAGCTGCTTTTCCAGGGCTGCATTTGATGTGTGGCCCTCAGACCCCCTCCCATTTCCATCTCTTGTCTGTCCACTGTGTTGTGAGTGCCTTCCTCTACCTGCTCACCGCCCGGCTGCCTTCCTGAGCCATCATCTGGAGCCATATCCCCTTGGACCTCTCTAGTCCTCTGCCTTGTTACCTTCTTGGTAGCATGTGGTCCTGTTGTCTACTCCCTCCTCATGGAACTTTCTTCCTTGACTTCTGAGACTTTGGGCAGCCACTGTCACGTGGATCTATTAGGACACTGGGGGAATCTCTGCACGGCAAGGCTGATCCAGGCAGACTAGACAAGCACACTGCCACTGACTCGGAATTGGATAAATACTACGAAGGCAGAGCACAGAGGCATGGCCGACAGGAAGCAGCATCCCATGTCCAGCACCCGTTCTGGGTGGGGAAGTTGTCCCTGAGGAGGTGTGGCTCTGAGCAGAGCCTGCAGGACTCGGGGGCCAAGTCTTTGGGAAGAGCCCTCAGATGCTGGAGCAGCAGTGCTCAGTACAAAAGCCCGCACGGCCTGGGAGGAAGCAGTAGGAGTGTGACTGTGGGGAGGGCTGAAGCCTGAAGGGAGCGTGGAAAGATGCCAAGTCAGGTTACACTGGAAAGCAGTGAGGCAGGCTTGCTGCTCACTCCAAGGGACACCGTGTGTATTGTAGTTGATGGTGATGGCGCCCTGGGGTTGTGCACTGCACACCCAGCACATACCCAGAGGTCTGATGGTCTGCCTACAGTTGGTAGAATGGGCGGAGAGGGTAAAAGGAGCCCATTTCGGAGCCTGCTGCTGTGATCCCAGAGCTACTCTGACTTGCCCTTCAGCTCACAATCCTTGCCCCCTGCCTTTCTAGGTGTTACCTCCTAGTTCACCGTGTCAAATGTAAGCAGCACTGAACTCATTGGGAGAGTCAGCCCAGAGCCCATGGAATTGATGATGACTCTGGGTGAGATTTGGCCTAGCACAAACCGGGCAAGGTAGCAGGGCCCAGTCACCAGCCAGTGTCTCAGATGAGCACCAAAATAGGAGCAGAAAGGGAAGCAGTGGGCTCTAGGCCTCTCCAGATGCTCCAGGAGCCCACTTTGTGTCAGCAAGAGAAGTTAGTATGCATCTGGACATGACTGGGGCAGAGCAGGGCTGTCTGCCACAGGATACCAGGATCAGTCCTGAGAGAAAGGGGAGAGGGGGTGCGCGACAGGGAGGGAAGCCTAAGGGCCGTCCTCAGTGTGGCGCCCTCAGCTTGCCGCTATTTTAGTGCCTGGAGTTAGGGCTCAGTGCAGATAGCTGTTGGAGCTTTGGGCACAGCCACAAAGTCAAGGGAACCCCACCCAGCCCACCAAGGGCCTTGACATCCTATTCTGCCCATCTTGATGGAACTCTTGTTCTGTGCACCACAACACAGGCATGGTCCCTCCCTCTCTCCAGTGGCTCAGCACCTTCTCTCGCCTGGGAACACACATCAGCTATTATCTTTTGTCACTGACCTCATCTGACCTCCTGCACACTTACACTTTGAAATACCATCTGTATTGTAAAAATGACACAGACACAAAGATGCATGAACCATAAGGGTGCAGGTTAGTGAGATGACATGGGGTGAGTGGCAGGCAGCCACCACCCTGTCAGAACAGGAGGGATACAGCTCCTGGGAGCTCCCTTCCAAGTGCTCTGTGCCTCCTCCCTCCCGCCCTCCCTAAGGTGACCTGCTTCCCTGACTCGTAATCATGGAGTTTGGATTGTTTTGATTTTGTTTTCCTTATTTTATTACTTAAGTATGCATTCCTAAATAGCACGGATCCCTTTTTTTTCCTTTTGTGTGCTCTAGTTCTTCAAGAACGGTTCACTGAGGGAAGGCAGAGGGAAAGAACGGGGAGCCAGTGGAGAATAAGGGGTAACTGGACGTGGATGGGAGGAAGGGAAGGATGAAGGGCTGTGCAAAACACGTCAGTGAGTGGCATCCAGCCAGCCTCTAGCCTGCAAAATCTTCCCAGCTCCACATGTGGGTGCCAGACCTCTCAGGACTCGCCCCTCCGCACCTCACCAGCCTTCTTGCCTGCTTTTAGCTCTCCATGAGAGCTGGCCTAGTGACCCAGAGGGCCCTCCACCTGGGACTCTGCCCACCATGTCACCTGGCAGGCTCCTGATAGCTTAGGTCATTGAGGTAGAAGTGAGGGAAGGGGGAAGGAAGAAAAGGGGGGAGAGGAGAAGAGGAGAGGAGGGGGAGGGGAGAGGAGACAGAGAGGGAGGGAAGGAGGGATGGGAGGAAGGAAAGGAAAGGAAGGAACTTTCTAGCCTCTCTCTACCTTGATTCAAGGTAGTCTGACATGTCGAGCCTTCCCTTCAGGTGGGGGGTTTTAGGGGCCTCCCAACTGTCCCTTGCTTTGCACACAACACTGTGAAGGAGAGAAGGGCCTTAGGAGCAGGTGGAGACCTGGCAGAGCCAAGGCCAGCCCCTCTTCCATCTGTTGCTCTGGGTTCTGCATTGTTTCCATGGGAGTGAGACCCTGATACCCAGCCCTCCCCTTCGCCGTTCACCTGCTGAGTTCTCTCTGTCCACCGGCCCATCCCTCCACAGCCCCTGATGGGCAGCAGGGGACACTCAGGGCCCTTTGGAGTGTGTGTGCCACCGAGTCAGCTGATGGCCTTTGTCTCTCTGCAGACATTGTCAACTGTGACCTGAAGTCCACGCTGCGAGTGCTGTACAACCTCTTTACCAAGTACCGGAACGTGGAGTGAGGGCCGGGGCACCTGCAGCTGCCTGGCACCTCTCACTCTACCGTCTGGACCAGCTTCTGAACCTCTGTGCTCTGCTTGCTCCAGTCTCTGGCTCTACGCTCTTCTGCAAGCCTAGCAACTGCCCAGAGATAGTGGACATTAAAAATCAGGAAGGAAATGACCACTATCCCATACCCACTGACCACACCCACAGTCCCAGCAGTGACCTGTACCCAAGTTCATTAACCTCCATTAAAATAGATGTCGTTACCCCCTTTTACAAATTAGAAAACTGAGGCTCAGAGATGGGGAGACTTGCTACCAGCTAGCAATTGTCTTTACTCTGAGCAATTTATTGGTTAATAACTGGTCGGTGGCATTCATTCTGAGTATGTTCTGAAGTGCACATGCTCATGCCACCTGCCCTGCTGAACACACCTACATCCCCCCACCCCCACCCCAACAGACAGAAAGCTCTGATCTCACCCTAGGGCGAGCCAGGTCAGAGTTCGGTGATTCACACTGAAATTGCCAAATTGAATTGAACCCAATTAATACTGTGTGTGGCCAGAGCTGTATCCCTCAAATCCTTTGTGCAAATGAAAATTACCCTTAATTCCTTCAGATGGGTAATAAGCCTACGCTCTGGTTGTGGGGTGGCTTTTGGGAAGAGTTCTGTTTGGAATTAATGGAGTGGTGCATTTTGCAGCCTTTTTGCTTGATTGCGTGTAATGGAAGTGCCCTATATTTTCCTGCAAAATAAGTACTCAATTCATTATCGTTAGGCAAATGTACGATATACTTGGGCACCGCAGAGAGCGCAGGCCCATCAGAACATCGCCTGGGAAGTAAGGCTCTTCAACAGGGACCCTTGAACTTTAAAGAAAGGAACTCCTTTTCGCCTTCTAATTGATCATTTAGACCATTCTGGCTATGTCTGCCCACAGGCAATTACCAGCTAATTCCAGGCAGAGAAAATGTCAGTCATTTAGACCGAAGCTGAGCAGTTCATTCCCTCCTGGTTACTTGTATCTCCTTGATAGGAACCTGACTTGGAAGGATGGAATTCCGCTTGTACCAGGCTGCTACAAAGTGCCGGAGAGAAAAGGAGATGATGGCACACGGAAGGGCAAAACCTAGGGGGATATTGGCATGCTTAACAGACTGGGAATAAGTAACCTCAGAGAGAGAACAGTGACTAGGGAAAGTAACACTTGTGCTCTTAAATTGAGTTGGTTTTGGAACAATCACCTGTGCTAAACCTGTGTCTTTCTAGAATTTTCATAATATGCCAGGTAGACACCAACTTGTACAGCCGCCTCTGGAAGCATATAACAAGCTACCTTGTATTCATCCCTTGCTGGAACGAAATGCCTGATAATAAGTGACTTAAGGGAGGAAGGGCTTATGTTGACTCACAGTCTGAAGGCATACAGTCCATCACAGAGGGGAAGCCATAACTCCTGACATCATGGAGAATCAGGAAGAAGCCAGCAGATGGGAAACCGGGTGAGGCTGTAAAACCTCAAAGCCCTCCTCCCTCCAGGCTCCACCCCCAAGGCTTCTACAGCTTTCCAGAACAGCAGCACCAGCTGAGGACAAAGGTTCGGTCATGTGAGCCTCTGGGGAGGTTAGGGAGGTTCATTGGGTAAACCCTGTTCTTGGTTTGAGGAGTCACTAAATCTCTTTGTATACAGAGTCGGGCCGGCCCCAGTTATCCAAGACATTCCCTGAGCACTCCCACTTCACTGTACTGACCATCTGGAGTAGTCCAGAAATCAGAAAGCTTAGACCCACTGCGTAGCTCCTTGGTTGTTTCGTTCTAAGGACTGTTGCTCAGCACAGTGAGCATTTAAGATAGGAGGGCAATGTGCTGTCTTATGTCAATCTATATACAAGAACAATTCCTGTTTTGTATAATTAGTGAAATATCCTATTTTTCATGAGGGGACACTAAATGGTGTAATGGTCCCCTTGCACTCATTTAAATTCCTGGTAGCAAATCAAGATTAAATAATGCTTCATCTCCTTAAGCAGTGCTGAAGTGGGAAGAAACAAGAGCGATGCATCCATTTAAACGCACTTTCCTCTTGGAATTTTGTCTCTTGTTTTTTCTAGATTCAAGCCATAAATACACAAGTGCCCTTGTTAAGAGCATCCCTTTTGTATTTCTTGTATCTACAGAGGAAATGACATCAGAACACTTGGACAGTTTTAAATAGCATGTCAAATGTAGCCAGGAATGGTTCTTAAAGGTCTTTGCCTCAGGCCAGAATCCCAGAGCTTGTGTCTGGTTTTATAGCCCTGCCATTTCTTGGAGATAGATGTTGGCACTTAGATTTGGGCATCTCCTACTTAAGACATGAGCACCATATTGAAGAAGAAAGAAGAAAGAGACATCATCATTCTAAGTAACCAAACAGCCTTCATCTCTCCTTTTTAAAAAGGAAAGAGAGACTGAGATAAGAGTCATTTTGGCTCACAAAGAGTGAATCCATCATGACAGGGAAGCCAGCAGGAGTGTGAGGAGGCTGGCCACATGGTGTCCCCAGTCAGGAAGCATAGCTATGAAAGCTGGTGCTCAGCTCGCTTCTTTTTTATTTACACTAGGACCCCAGCCCAGGGAGTGCTGGCACCCACAGTTGGGGTGAGCCTTCCCACCTCAGTGAATCATTCTTGTGCTTTTTTTAATAGTTGAAACATAAGTAGCACAGAACTCAAAAAGCAGGAATAGTTTCTAATAACCCCAAGTGTCTGTCTCACCTCTTCCCCCATCGTCTCCACCCTCTGTGGAGATAACTGTTTTGAGCCATTTCTTCTGCATGCAAATAAAGCCTGAATGTGCATATAGAATCTTGGGGTTTTATATATTATATAAATAGCCCATTATATATACTCTCATATGCGTTTCTTTTTCACACTGTGTTAGATCTCGGAAATTATTTACCCTAGGCATTAGGTGAACACTTACGTATTTGACACTATTTTACACAGGATTTTTATATATTTCTAAAATGAGATTTAGCATTTTATTCAGCTAAACACACAGCTCCAGTCTAGGGTGGAACTGGAGATACTCACCAAAGGCATTTCATGTACCTGAATCTGATTTTTTTCTAAGTCTTTCTTTGGAATATAAACGGTAAATTGTTGTGTGTGTGTGTGTGTGTGTGTGTCTGTCTGTCTGTCTGTCTGTCTGTCTGTGTGTGTATGGCTGCTGACCTGGGGATGGGACCTGGTGTCTTGTACATACTAAACATACACACTATCATGGAGCCACACACATATCCCAACCCAATTGTGTGTAATTCAATTAAGGTTTCATTTTTGTGTGCAATTAGTTCTACTAAATGGCAGTTGACTGAGAAAGGCTTTTTAAAGGTTACTGTGTCCCTTGCAATGTTGTAAAGCTCATCCACCTGCCAGACTGCAAGAAAAGATTCCCCTTTCCCATGTGCAGATAGAGTTGACATTCTCCAAGTCTGGGAGGAGGTTTCTTTATCAGCCGCTCATCAGCACAGCCTGGAGTTGGTTGCAATTTTCAGCTGCTGCCATTGGAACTTTAATTATGAATCAGTTCGTTCATTATCATTATTGGTTCATTTTGTTGTGGGTTATTTGGTTAACCCTATGGAGTACATTGAAGCTTACTTGCATCAACAGTATTCTGGGGCTATAATTTTCCAATAACTAGACTCTACAACATGTATATATTGTGGTTCCCGTATGAATCATCCTACACCAATGTTAGTGCAAATGTATACATCATCCACTTCCCCAAATTAGCACTAATTTATTTTTCCACTAGAAAATGAGACTGGATGGAGTCAGTGGGTCAAATTGTTTAAATCCTGTCTAAGTGGCAAACAATTTGAGACCCACTGCCTTTAATGCAATCCCACTTCAGGAATCCAAACTATATGTTCTATCCTACTCATTTAAGAGGGATATATCCTCAACCCTTCACTAATCCCAACGTCGCATAAAGCCCCCATGAAATTCACTTGGGTGTACTGGAAAGTTAGGAGAGTCGTACAGATACCGAGGACAGCAGAACCACACTGAGGTGCAATGCTGGGTGGTTGGTTGACTCACTGCCTGTGTTACTTTTTCCCTTTTCTGTGACAAAGCATCTTAAGGACAGAAAGGTTAATTTTGGCTCACAGTTTAAGAATGGATGCAGAAGCCAGGCATGGTGGTCCACGCCTTTAATCCCAGCACTAGAGAGGCAGAGGCAGGCAGATCTCTATGAGTTCCAGGCCAGCTGGGGCTACAGGGAGACCCTGTCTAAAAAAAAAAAAAAAAAAAAAAAAAATAGATACAGAGCTGGGGGAGATGGCTCAATGGGTAAAGTGTTTTCTCTGCAAGCACTAGGACCCAAGTTTCAATCCCCCAACACTCATATAAAAAGTCAGGCTGTCACAGGGCATGGGTATGCTTACATACACTCATACACACAAAATAAAAATAAAATATTTTTTAAAAAATAAGGTAGAAGCTGGGCGTGGTGGTGCACGCCTTTAATCCTAGCACTTGGGAGGCAGAGGCAGGCGGGTCTCTGTGAGTTCAAGGCCAGCCTGGTCTACATAGTGAGTTCCAGGACAGCTGGGGCTACAGGGAAACTCTGTCTCAAAAAAACCAAAAAAAAAAAAATTTTTTTTTTTTTTAAATAAGATAGAGAACAGTAGAAGAAGACACTCTGGCCTGCACATGTGCATGCATGGGCACATACTCCCACATACATGTGCATACTCCGATACATGTGTACACACACAGTGGCAAAGCATCAGGCAGCTGTTCCCACTGCATCTGTAGTCAGGACGCAGAGATGGATGCTGGTACTTAGCTCATTTTCTCCTTTTTGTTCAGTCCTGGAGTCAAGTCCACCCACATTCAGGACGGGTCTTCCCTCCTCAGTTTATCCTCCCTGGAAATGGCCTCACAGACATGCCTAGAGGTGTGTTTCCAATTCTAAATCCAGCCGAGTTGACAATGTATATTAGTCATCACACTGGCTAAAATACCTACCTTGAAACTCCAGCTTCCCAAATCCCTATAGATTCAGGTTTTAGTGAAAGACAAGTCAATATGAACTGCTCACAGCTGTAGCAGCAGGGGAATAGCACGGGATCAGGGGTGGGGGGTGGAGCAGGTGGGAGGTGTTTCCAGAAATCCCAAGCAGCATTAACATTTTTCTCTGAAAAAATAAACCCAGGTGAGCTCCCAAGTTTGCCTTTGCTCCTGGCTTCCTGGCCATGGTGGGGACCTCTGTGATTATTCACATGAGCTGAGAGTACTCAGTGCAGGATGAGGTTCCCACAAGCCAAGCCTGGCCACTGAGAACTGCAGGCTTCCAGGGTGGCAAGCCTGAAGCATCTAGAAAAATCAATCCTGCGGGATAGTTGGAGAATCAGGTAGAAAGCGTCATACTGACATCATACTTAGCATAAGGCTAAAAATTTAAGCTTACTTAATATTTGGTTTTGCTCTGTGGTTGGCTTTTGATTTTCTAATTGGAACCCATTTCAGAGTCTCCTACACTAAGGGATATTTGGACCCATGAGGAGAGACAGGGAAGACTTTATTTATGTCTTAACTATGTGTAATCTTGACCTATTGCCCCTAAGAAATTTCTAGAATGAAATGTTCAACAAATATATATATTGAATAGAAGACTACAGTCCAGAGGAGATACACTTGTTAGTAACAAACTGTGGTTAGCACCACAGAGGGAAAGCACAGTTGGCCCTTCAGCCAGGGATTCTGTGTCGCCAGATTCAACTAACCAGCAATCAATAATTCTTTTGGGGGAAAAAAAAAATTGGCTGATGAGGATGTGGGGGGAAAGGAACCCTTACACACTGCTAGTGGAAATGTAAACTTATACAACCACAATGGAAATCAGTATGGACCGGGTGAGGCAGCATACACCTTTAATCCCAGCACTCAGGAGGCAGAGGCAGGAGGATCTATGTGAGATGGAGGCCAACCTGGTCTACAGAGCAAGTTCCAGGCCAGCCAGGGCTACATGGTAGGACTCTATCTCAAAAAACAATATATATGTATACATATACATATATATTTATAAAATAAATATATATAGTAAAATAAATAAGCTGAAAAACACAGCAACCATATGTCCCAGGTATACCATGCCTGGGAAAATATGGGGAAGAATCTAAGTCGGATTACCACACAAGTACCTGCTCATCTGTGTTCATTCCAGCACTATTCACAATCGCCATGTTATAGAATCAGTCTATGTCCATCAACACATGAATGGGTGAAGAAAATGTGATACAGAGAGAGAGAGAGAGAGAGAGAGAGAGATACAGAGCCCGAGACAGAGTGGAGTTTTACTCAGCCATAAAGAAGGAGGAAATCCAGGCTGGAGAAATGGGTCAGCAGTTAAAAGCACTGGCTGCTCTTGCAGAAGGCCTGAGTTTGGTTCCTAGCACCTACATGGCAGTTAACAACCATTCATATCTCCAGTTCTGGGGGATCTGACCCCCCTCTTGTGACCTCCACTGGCATTGTATGCATGTGGTGCACTTATACATGCGGGCAAATGACTCATACATATAAAATAAAAATAAATAAAACCAGGCGTGGTGGTGCCCACCTTTAATGCCAGTACTCGGGAAGCAGAAGCAGGCATATCTCTCTGAGATGGAGACCAGCCTGGCCTACATAATGTGTTCCAGGTGAGCTAGGGCTACAGGGAGACCCTGTCTCAAAATAAATAAATGAAAAATAAATAATAAATAAAAATTAAGGAGGAAAACATGATATTTGAAATCATGAAATATGCAATTGGAGACATATTGAGCAAAATAAGTTAGATCCAGAAAGATGAATCCATTTTTCTCTCATATGTACATACACACACTTATGGTATAAAGGTCAAAGAGGAATCATGGGAAGACAGTGAAGACTCATGGGCGGAAGAAGAGAGGGCCGGGCAGAGTGAATACAGTCTAAGAACATGAGACGCTTGGACAAAATGATACCTGCAAATCCGGGTATCTGGGAATGGCCTGGAACCACTCACCAAGGACAGGAAAGGAAACTGATTTCGATCCTCTGATTCAGATTTTGAGGTCTCAAGAGGTGTGTGGAAACTGACATTCTAAAACAGCACCCATGTCAAGAAGCTGCAGGACTAAGGGACCTGTCAGTCAAGAACACAGCAGGAGACCAGAGAACACTTGGTTCTGGGGAGGAAGTGACAGAAAGCCAGGAGGGCCAAAGTACAGAGAATTTGCAGGAAGAAGGGGTGGCAGGTGGCAGATGTCAGAAGAATACAGGTTCCTAGGAACAGCAGGAAACATATCTCAAACCTTCCCTCTGTGTGGGGAAAGCTGTGAACTGGTGGAGGCCTGAGAACAGTGCCTCCCCCAGACCCAAGTCATGGCCAAAAACAAAGGGAACTGGAAGGGGAGGGAAGGCTGCCACCCACCCCTACCCAGCACCAAAGCGGTCTGTCCATAAACATCTCCCATGAGACTGCAGAGAGGGAGAAGCTCCTAAGCCACCCAGCTCTCTCTTCCATCCTCAGAAAAGAGCTGGTAGCCTGGAAGAGGAAAGGAAACTATAGGTGATACTCTGTGAGGACCTGGCCCCCCCATTCATCCTGGGGGGTACCTGTTTCCTTCCCATGTGGCTCCCACGGGAAGTGGTACAGGAATGCTGTCATTCACCCTAAAGTGGGTCCAGGTAGCCCACAATATTAAAACCTGCTGATACTCAAGTGCTTTATATAAAACGGTGCAGTATTTACATATGATCTTCCACACGTGCTTCTGTGTGTAGTCGTGGCATTACTTATAACATCTACGACACTAAAAGGCTAT